AGGGGTAGAGTGCATGAGACCAGGCTTCCACCCCCGGCAGCTTCCCGTGTGAGGGAAGTGGTCTTGTGAATGGACCTGCACTGTGTGAGCTCTGAGTGGCCAGGGGCAGAACGCCTGTCCCAGGGGAGCTGCTCAGGAGAGGTCAGGCAGTGACTCTTGACAAAGACAGCTCTTGGCTTTCTGGGGAAGCTTGGTTCACAGGAGTTAATAGCAGTAACTGTCTTTACAGAAGCTACCAGGTGTTTTTGTCTCATTTTGTCTCTCTCATACTGAGTGAGGAAACAAATCCTATCTCCATAAAAAGACAGCTGTGCATAACTGTGCATACCCATAACCCCAGCATTCTGGGAGGCTGAGACAGGAAAACTGAAAGTTTAAGCCCTGACTAGGCAACTTAGTGAAGCAAGACTCAGTCTCAAAATAAAGAGTAAGGGCTACAAATGAAACTCAGTGCAAAGGCCCTGGGTCCAATCCTGAGTACCACAAACAAAAAATACAAAATAAAACAGGTCACAGCAGCCCTGTGTGAGCCACATCTTCTATGATTCTCTGACCCTGTCGCGTTGCTGTCCAGAACAGACTGTCCCTCTTGGGCAAACTGCTCCTTGGGATGTGCGCCTCACAGCACAAACCCCCCACCTTCCTGAAGAGGAGTTCGTACTGCTCTGGTCCCTGCATCTCAAGTCCAGCTGGCTGCTCAGGGCAGACTAGGTGCTGAGAGAGGCAGGTGAGTCCAACGGGGCTGCAGGAGAAGGGAGGGGAGTTAGTCCCGACTCTAGTTTGTCTGCAGCAAGCTGACTCCAGCGGTTTAGCCAGTGGCCGGCAGGGCTGCAGCCAGGTGGCCAGGTCTCCCGGGGGATGGCTCTGGGGATGGGGGAATGGGTGCCACATGTGCATCACTTTGACTGCCTAGCTAGCACCTGGTTTCCAGTCTCTGCACATCACACACAGACCATCCCTTCCCGGCACTAGTGCTGCCACCGAGCAGCTCCAGGTGATGCAATGGGTGGCCCAGAGGCCAGAGCAGCAGCCAGAGCCCTTGCTGATTGTTCAACAACCAGAACAAAGCACCAGCATCCTCAGAGCTAGGTTTCCCAATCGTGCAGTGTCCTGCACACACTGAGGCCGGCCCTGCTGTGCTGAGAACAGAGCTCAATACCACCCTGCCTGGCCCTGCACTACCCTTCCTTGTTCCCCTTCCCCCAGGCACCTCCAGCATCCTCTGCTCAGGGAACTAACAAGCCACATTCTCACGGTGATCATTTCCCGCTGTTGAACTTGCTGAACCTAAGCTCTCTATTAATTCTCTGTCAAATGAGCTCCTCTGGGATAAGCTGTCCTGGAACTGTTATTCCTCTGCCTTTGGACCCCACCAGCAGCTCCGAACCCCTGCCACACCACGCCAGCCACTCCTGCTGCCCTGAAACAGAAGAGAGCCCCACCCAACTCTCCCCTGCCCCTGGGGAGCTCTGAATTAGAGATTGAAGTAGAAATCAAAACAGGTTCTTGAAGAGATAACAGGCAGCACCTATAGGAACCAGAAAGTCAGCAGTTTCCACCAGGAATCATTTGCAAGAGTAAGATGCAAAAAGTGAGTACAACATGATCACAGCTCTCTGAACAATTCCTATGCACTTTTATGCGTAAGATGTGATCAAAATATATAGTGACGGGGCTGGGGATTTAGCTCAGCGGCATAAGCACCTGCCTTGCAAGCAGTCGTGAGTTCGATCCATGGTACCGATAAAAACGAAAAAGACAAATAACATATATATATATATATATATATATATATAGTGACATATATATATATAATTTTTTTTTCTATATAGGTACCAGGGATCAAACTCACAACTGTGTGCTTGCAAGGCAGGCACTTATGCTGCTGAGCTAACTTTCCAGCCCCTAAATGTTTATATTTTTAAAATGTATTACAGTAAAAGACATTAGTCCCATCAGGGATTTAGCTCAGCAGCTTAAGTGCTTGCCTGGCAAGCATGAGCTCATGAGTTTGATTCCCAGTACCCAAGAAAAAAAAATTCAGGGCCAGGGGTTTAGCATAAATGCCTGCTTGGCAAACGCGAGGTCATAAGTTCCATCTCCAGCACCAAAAAAAAAAAAAAAAGATATTCGTCCCCCTCAAAATACTTCCCTTCACTGGGAACACCCTGTCTTACCATTCCTGCCACTTTCTGAAGTGGTTCTAGAAGTGCTCTTTCATGAGTGTCTTTATGAAGTGTGATAAAAAAATACAGCTACTGCTCCTGCTGAGTCCCAACCATTAACATTGTGTTAAAACACTACAGTGTTCCCATCCACTTATTCACTGGTTTGGCATTGTGCACCTTCTGGCTCTTCCACAAAGTCAAAACGAGCAATGAAAGGTAAATGTTTTAAATCAACTCAGGGCATTGAGACAGCCAGGACAACTCAACCAAAGACACAGAAGTATTTCCAGAACTCACAACCTCACACTTGTCGGGGCAGGCACACCACTGAGCTAAATCCTTGGCCCCTGGTTTTGGTTTTTGAAACAGGATCTTTCAATATAGTTCAGGCTGGCCTTCATGGCCTTGAACTCACTGTAGCTGAAACTGGTCTATAACTTGTGGCAATCTAACTGCGTCAGCCTCCTGAGTGGTGGAATGACAGGCATGAGCCACCACACCTGAGTTAAATTTCATTATTTTCCCAAATTTGTTCCATTACAAGTTCATCCTGAAAATCATTCTTATTTTTTCTATTATAAAACTTACCAAAAAATTTCACACAAACATTTCTGACATGTATTACATTATTACACCACCTCACTCGCCCAATTGGGAATATCTTTATTATCATAATTCATAAAATATTTTTAAATATGAAGACAGGAGAGTTCCACTGTAACCCAAACCCTTAGGGACTACCACTGTTTGGATGTATTCGTCCAGATGTGAAAATGGATGTATAAGCTTTTCTATTAAAAAAAAATTATACCCCAAGTATTTGGGGATTTTCTAGCTTTTTTTTTTTTTTTTTGTCACTGCTGTGTAGTTTAATTCTATTGTGGTCTGAGAACAGGCATTATATCATTTCTGTTCTCTTAAATTGTTCAAGTATGTTTTGTGGTTCACAGTGAATGTTCCATGTGGCTGAAGAACAGATATTATACTGTTTTTCATAAAGCATTCCATAGACGTTATTTCTATGCAGTTGATTGATGGTGTCCTTACAATTATGATCTTATTTTCTGTTTGCAGGATCTGTTCATTTTGGATCGAGGGATGTTAAAGTCTACAAATGTAATATTAGGGTTTTCCCTCTTGCAGTTCTGTCAGTTTTTGGCTCATGTATTTTGACAATCCACTGCTAGGCACAGATGCATTAAAGCGACCTTGTGTCTCCTTGGAGAATTGACCCCTTCATCATTATGGAAAGCCACTCTTTATCCCTATAACTCCTGTTCTCTTTTGATTAGTTTTAACATGGTATATCTCTCTCCATTCCTTATTCTTTTTTGGGGGGGATTGGTACTGGGGATTGAACTCACAACCTCACACCTGCCAGGTAGGCACTTAAGCCATTGAGCCAAATCCCCAACCCTATTCCTTATTCTGATCCATGTCTTTACATTTAGTGTTTTGTAGGCAATATATAATTTTGATCTATTCTGACAGTCTCTACTTAGTGTCTTCAAACCACTGACATTAATGGAATTGGATTGATGGAGTGACTTGATGGAATTGGATTAAAATCTTTTTTTTTTTTTTTTTTACTATTTTCTGTTTGTTGATCTTGGTGTTTTCTTCTTTTTGACTTACATTTCTGCTTTCTGCAGTTTTAACTGAGCATTTTATATTATTCCACTTTTCTCCTTTCTTGGGTTACCAATTATACTTGCTTCATATTTTTTAGTAGTTGTGCTATAATTTGCTATACACATTTACAAATTATTCAAGTTTGCTTTCAAGTAAAAGCATCTTATAAAACCAAATATTCCCAGCTCTTTTTGTCCTTGTATCATTGCTGTCATTAATTTCACTTATACATAAGCTATAATCATTTAATGGTTTTACTATTTTGAACACAGTTGTTAATAAGTATAAGCGATTTTACCTTCATTTATTTTTATTTATTTTTTTTACGGTACCGGGGATCAAACTCATGACCGCCTGCTTGCAAGGCAGGTGCTTATGCCACTGAGCTAAATCCCCAGCCCTACCTTCATTTATTTCTTCTGAAATGCTTTTACTTTCTTTACGCAGGCCTGCATTTCTGAGTTATATAATTTTCCTTCTCTCTGAAGACCTTCAGTATTTCTTACAAGGTAGGTCAACTGAATGTTTGTCTGAGAAGTTCCTTACTTTTCCTCAATTTTTGAACTATAATTTCATAGAATACAAAATTCTAAATCATGGGTTTTCTCTCTCCATTCTAAATATCTCACTCTTCAATTCTCTGCTTTCTAAGGAGACATTAAGCATGATTCATATTTTTGTTCCTTACAGATAGGGTGTCTTTTTCACTGCCTTCTTTTAAGCTTTTTTTCTTTGCTTTCCAGCAATTCGGATACAATGTGCCTGTATGCAGCCATTTGCTTGTTTAGTTCTGGGGACTGAGCCTGGCCTTCATACAGAGTTAGATCATCCCTTTTCATGTCTTCCTAGTCATTAAATTGTCCAGGCTGGGCTCAAACTTGTGATGCTCCTGCCTCAGCCTTCCAGGGTGCTGGGGCTATAGTTGTGCACAGCACCTGGCTAAAGTTTTGGTTTGGCTCAGCCTGGTGTTTTACATCATCCTACTGGGTGTTCTCGCGCAGCTTTGATCTGTGTTCAGCACTCGTGCGTTGTCAGCTGGGAGTCTTGAGCAGTCATTCTTTAAATGTGGTTTCTGCTCCTTCATATCCTGAAACCCTCCGTACACAGAGGCAGGCCACCCTTTTATCACCGACCTGCGGGTGGTGGACATTCTGTTCTAATTTCTCAGCGTTCCTCCCCTTTGCGTTCAGGTCTGAAGCTCAGCGCTCCCGCGGCCAAGTCCAGTCCGCCGAGGAGCCCGCCGGAAGCACTCTCCACTTCCCTCCCGGCACTTCCGGCCCGTGCTCCGTCAGGCCCCGCCCGCCGGCGTGAGCGTCGGCGTCCTCGCGCACGAGCTGCGGCTGCGAAGCGCGGCTGTTTATCTCACGCTGCTGCGGCCGCGTGCGTGGCAGGTTCCCGCACCGGGATGCCCCCTCTGCCCACACCGGCTTCCAACGCCTGGTTGGCTCCTCCCCACGCCCCTACCGGGCCGAGCCCGCGTCCCGCTTTGCTGTGGACTCCGCGCGTGCGCGGCCCTTTCTCCCTGCCGCCGATGCCTCCCGAGCCCGCCGCTGTGCGGCCTGCCTGCCCCTCCGGCTCCAGGAGACGCCCTCTGCCGTCACCTCGCTTGGCGTCCAGATGTAAAGACTGTCTCTTTCCAGCGTTTTCCTGCTGTTACCACGGCGCGGTGACTTCTGAGCTTGCTGTATGCCAGGCCCCCGAAGGTCCCCTCTGCTCAGATTTTAATCGGATTGTCTTTATTGTTGATTCATTAGTATTTCTTATGAACTCTGGGACAAAGAGATATGACTTGTAAACATTGTCCCTTCTGTGGGTTCCCCCCCCCCCCCACTATAGCACAAAAATTTTTTGTTTTGTTTTTGTGTATGCTGAGGTCCAGGGGTTTTTTTGGTTTTTTTTTTTTTGTTGTTTGTTTGTTTGTTTTTTGGCTTTTTTTTGTTTGGTCCCGGGGATGAAACTCGCAAGCGCTGAGCCGCTGAGCTAAATTCTTGGCCCTAGTTTGTCTTCTTTTGTCTGTTCTTTTGCCTTGAAGTTCTATTCAAGAAACCATTGTTTAAACCAAGGAAATAGCAATTTACTGCCATGTTTTATGTAGGAGCTCTGTGGTTTTAGATCGCATGTTGAAAGGATCTTGCCCCAGATAGGGCACTACAGCAGTGAGAGGCGGGACCAAAGGATGTTTACCTTGAGGGCATTCCGCCCCCCCCCCCATGAAGTTTACCTTTGGCGGGAAATGAGTTCCAATCGACTGGGGATTTAGCTCAGTGGCGGAAGCGCTAGCGAGCTGGCTGTGCATCAGCAATTCCCCTCTAGGTACCACCCTGGGCCAAAGCCTGCACACCACGTCCGGCCCCGGCAGTCATAGAGTTTCTTTCTGCATCCTTAAAGTCCACTTTGCTTTATATTCTGACTTCTAACCGTGCTGAAAATTCTTTCACATGTTTAGGTCTATAATCCATTTTAAATTGATCTTTTCATGAGGTAGAAATCCAGTCTCAAGCTTTCATATGTGTATACCCAATTTTCTGGCACTTTTTATTCAAAAGACTATTTTATCCCATTGAATTGTCTTGCAGCCTTGTTAGAAAACCACTTGGTTATTGGATCAATGAACAGAACTGTTTGCAGTATCATTGATGGAATGTCCACTTTACAAGCTTTAATTTTGTGACTTGAACAATTATTTCTAAGATGACAATATGTAATCCATTAACTAGTGATTTCCTACTGTTCATTTTTTTTTCTGTAAATCTGTATAACTTGAACCCTTTCCCTGCTTTTTTTTTTCTTTTCTCCTTAAATAAAATTTAAAAAAAAAAAAGAAAAAAAAAAAAAGAAAACCACTTGGTCACAGATGGATTCTCTAATTAATTTAAAATTTCTTTATTTGCGCTTCCTATTGTAACACAAGAGCTCTTCTGACACTGTGATTTCTTCAGTGTTACGCTCATTTCTGTCGTTTTTATTTAGGTTGGCATAAAAGAGAAGAGAACATTCTGGCTGGTTTCAAGAGGAATCACAGTGAGTTCAAGCTCAAAGGATGAATGCCCAGAAGTACCAAAGTTCCTGCCAGATAATGAGTCGACTCAGCTGCTGAAGTGTAAAAAACATTTACAGCGTTGTGGTAATATCCAGACATGTTTTTAAAGTTTATTTTAATTTTAGTGTCTTGTCTGGTGTTTTCATTTGGTTTTTTTTTTGTTGTTTTTTTTTTGTCTTTTTCGTTTTTATCGGTACCAGGGATCGAACTCACGACTGCCTGCTTGCAAGGCAGGCGCTTATGCCGCTGAGCTAAATCCCCAGCCCCTTCATTTGTTTTGAGACAGGTCTTCCTGTGTAACCCAGGCTGGTTTTAAACTCTTGGGTTCAAATGATACTCCCGCCTTGGTTTCCCAGGTAGCTGGGACTATAGGTGTATTACACATCTGGCTTGAAGTGTAACTTTTACTTATTTTATTTTGGGGGAGTAACACTGAATGAACTCACAACCTGGCGCTTGCCAAGCAGCCACTTGTGTGGCTGACATATATCCTGGGTCCCTAAAATCTGCTTTTTAAATGATGATGAAGTGCTAGAAGGAGATTGTGAGTAGTCTTTGTAAGTCTAGTTGAGAGGTTTGTATAGTGTCCTTGAAGCAATAAGTAGCCAAGTTTGAAAAATAATCTACCTAGTGACTAAACAGGAAACCCATAATAGGTTACAAGACACGGTCCTAACACAAGGCAAGAAAAGTGTGACTGCAGGGTCTGAAGCTAAAGATGATTAGCCTTGTCACTAGGTCATTTTGCAATGGGCTTAGAAATAATAGGGAAGTTATTTTTAAAAGTTGGTTCAAAATGAGACGACAGTTAATAGCTGAGGTAGAGAAAAATTAATACAATAAAAACTACCTTTAAAGTGATTAAGGGGCTGGGGATTTAGCTCAGTGGCATAAACACCTGTCTTGCAAGCAGGCAGTTGTGAGTTCGATCCCTGGTACCAATAAAAAAGTTTAAAGTGATGATTAAGAAGTCACTATTCCCCTCAAAATTTGAAGTTTAGGGAGAGAAGAACAAATATCCCCCAACCTTCCATCTGATTTAGAGGAACTGTAATGTTTGATTGACCACAGGCCTAAAGCCAAGCAACTACTTAGAGGACAAAAGCATGCAACATAGTAATTATTGGAGATTTCTTACTGTCTTACCACTATTTTGATTTATTTTATTGCTGTTTTATTCCCTTTAAAATTTAATAAAACTACAAGATGAAAAAATCAAGTTTAGTTCATCAGCCAGCATCAAGCTAAATGTCATCATACTGAGAGATGATGGCTAGTGCTCGCTTGGTCAGCACAGATACTAAAGATCAGATGACAAGTGTGCACAGAGCAAATACAGAGCTGAAGAAGAACTTGTGCTGGGAGACCCTGGCCTTGGATGCCCCTGAGGTGCCCTTGCTTTTCTCTGACGGTCTGAATGTGACGGTGGGAATCTCTGACCATGACCTGAGAGGAACAGCAGAGTGCTGAGGAGCCCCCAAGTTTCCACAGCCTCCCCTGGGTGAGGCTTGTCAGGAGAGGCTTGAATGCTGGTCAAGCCAGGGGCCTGAGGTTAATGAAGTCACCGACAGGAGAAGATAAATTGCCTCTGATCAATGATCCCGTCGCTTTTCCAAATCCTGATGCTTCAGCAAGAAGGGGACATGCCCAATATGAGGTCAGCGAGAATTTAAGCTTCCAGATGCTCCCCTCTCTATCCCACTACAATGAAATGAGCTGTGTTTTAACCTACAGCTTTGTCTGCGTAGAACCGCAAGGTCAGAAACCTTGTCCTTGGGTAATCACTGATTTCAAAAGTTCATTTTCCCTCTTCTGAGGGGAAGAGAAGGAAACACACTGTGTGTTGGGATGGGAGAAAGCACCTGAGCATAGTGGACAACACTACTGAGAGATGGCGTCCTGGATGACTCCCAGTTAAAGCAAGTTAGAGAAATGTTTTCCTTTATAGGAGCTGTTGAAAGAAGTCGCAGGCCAGTCCTAAAGTGTTGAGGGCAGAGGGTCTGCAAGGCCACTGCTCGGAAGTCAGGAAGGGGCTGGACATGTGGCATCACGTTGATGTAGAGGTCTCAGACGTGACAGTGAGATGGCAGGAGATCTAGCTGTGTATACATAAATAGCCTCTGAATTATGATAGTTCTTTTTTTTTTTTTGAGATAGGGCATCACTGTGCAGTTCAGGCTGACCTTGAACTCACTGTGTAGCCCAGGCTGGTCTCAAACCTGCAATGATTCTCCTGCCTCAGCCTCCTGAGTGCTGGGATTATAGGTGTGCACCATCACCAGCTGATAGTTCTCTTTTACAGTGTAGCAGAGCAATACAGGTTGAGTGCAAACACCCAGAATATATATGTAGCCTTTTCTGCCTTGCTGGGGAAGGGGAAAGAACAAAAACAGGTTCGCCTCATTAAGCATACCCTTGGTTCATCTCAGAATTCACCCTGGGGCCACTGCTACTTGTCAGGGAGGACAGCGCCATTTCCTGCTTATACACTCCCTCTCCTCCCACAAGAGGGCTCAGACCAAGAATGCTCTACCCTGTGGAGTTGATCATACTCATTGGGAACAACCCACCCCAAAGCTAGTGGCTTGCAGTGACCAACTCACTGTCATTGTGTAAGAATCGGTGGCTCTACTCCACTGGGACCTGGGGTCACAGGTGCAGTTGTGGCCCTGGGAGGCACAGTGGCTGGGGAGGGATGAACAGGTGGTCTCACTGTGAGCCCCATGCTTGGCACTGTTTGCTGCCCCCCCGCCAACATCTCCCTTTCCACAGCAGCGCAGGCTTCCAAGAACATTGGTACAGCTGGGAGGCCTCAGAAGCCCCAGACACTGGCACTCACAGGACAGGGCCACCTCCTGTTGGTCAAAGGCAAGCGTAAAGCCAGAGGCAAAAGTGGGAGGGACTTTGCTGCCACCTACTGATGAGGGGAATGGTGAAGATCCTGAGGCCAGTTTCAATGCTCCACAAAGGGACTGAATTAAAACCCCAGAGAAAAAATGCCTCCTAGTACACATGACACAAAAGCTATTTCAGAATGTTCATATTTCTTGTTATCATTAGCTTTTTCTCCTGAATGAAAAACAGTTTTTGGGTAAGGAAGTAGAAGATTTTTGTATTTAGGTGAACTAAGAGTTTTTCAAAATATGTAAGATAAATACAAATAAAACAGGATTCATTGAGCCAGTATTAAACCTGGTCATACATGTTGAATAGGAACTTGTCTGTTTTAGAGAACAAGTTTGGTTGAAATGTGATTAATTTCACAAACCTAGACTAAGGAGAAGACAAAAATTAAAACTGTGTAAATTTTTAAAAGTTCAGAAGATTTAAAAACACTACACTGTTCATCATATATTATCTAATCTTTAGTTTGTACTTTTTGTAGGAGGTGGAGAATAAAACCCCAGCACAATGTCCCACTTGAGAGTCTCTAGTCCAGCTAAAGACAGCAGTGTGCAGCAGTGTGCGGTGTGTACTTCAGGCCTGTGGTACTGTATGGGGAAACTACATTAAAAAACGAGAAAAGTTCAAGTTATCAAATATGCAGTGATATGCCGGGAAGCCATGGGGATGCCCCAGTTTCTCTCAGTGACTTTTTTGTCCAAACAAAACAAAAAAAGCTTTTCCAAGAGTGCGAGAGCATGCATGGCTGCTGGTTCCTTGACAATGGCATTTTCAAAGATGTTTAGTTTATTTTCTGTCCATTGCCCTTGCAAGACAACTGGCTGGGATTAAAGGAAACACTGCATTTGGTCAAATGACCAAATACCCCCTGGTGTCCGTGCCGTTTTGTGTGTGTGTGTGTCCTGTGCTGGAGATGGAACTCATGACCTCGAGTTTGTCAAGCAGACACTTATGCCGCTGAGCTGAACCCCTGGCCCCTACCCCCTGGTTTTTTTTCTTCAGTGCTGGGGGATCAGATCTAGATCTTGGGGACGCTAGGCACACATGTCACAGCAGACCCACATGCTCAAACCGTTGATGCTGCTTAGGAAGGACGGGCTAGGTAGGCAGGAAGCTCTGGAAAAAGAAGACCATTGTTAACATAGGATTTTAAATGGAAAGAGGTGTTCTGAGAAATAATGACTTTAAAAATCTGTTTGCCAATAACTACTCTCAAATACTTCATAGCTGTAACCATTTGTTGTGGTAAAATATTCCAGCATTCTTTACCCTCCACTGCAGAACCTTGTGAGCTCTGACCAGGAGAAAGCTGCTAGCTGGATGGCCAGACACTCCTTCTTCCCTAAGGGAAACTAAGGAAACAAACACAATTCGCGTCAACCCAAGAGCACATGGCCCCGCCCCACACCGTGCAGCTGTCTCTGGCCAGTCTCACTTGTAGAATTTTAGAGTGGAAAAGATCTGAAAGACCCTCAAATCCAAATATACCTGGCTTATTTTCCAGTGGAGGGAAGGGATTAAAGGTGTGTCTCAATAATTTTGGAGAACTGATCTCAGAGTCAGCCTTCTGTTAGCTATTCCATATTGCCACCACTGACTTAGTTTAGTTAGGCAAAAATACCTTTCCATAGTCAATGTTTCTGCTTCCTTGGCTATTTGTTGTTCTGTTTTTCTAGAGGGCTGGGTCTGTCAGATTGTGTTTTTCATTTATGTTGTGACTCCCCTGCTTTTTTTCTTCCACAGCTGGCAGAATTATATGCTTTGGTTGAAAATTTTAATGAGGACAGTAAGAAATCAAGTCTCCTAAAAACATGCAGCATTTCCCTCCCAGAAGCACAGGCACTACTTGCTAAAAGCCTGAACACCATGGCATTCATCAGCAGAACTGGCTCCAGAAGGGAAGACACACAGCCAATGTTTTCAACCACAGTGATTAAGAAGGAGCGCAGGAAGCCCCCGCCCATGGCTGAGCGCCTGCACCACAGCCTGCTACAGGGCTTGTTCTCCCTGGCAGGGCCCCCCAGGGCCCGCAAGAGGCTGATGGAGGGTGGGATAAACCCTCCTGCAGACCCTTTTCCTTACAACTTTATCCAGGAGGGCTTGGGTGCTCTGGCACAGGGTACAGCTGAGAAGACCCAGAGCCTCCAGGTATTAGAAAGACCCCGCCTATTCAGGCTGGTCTTTGAAGACAAACTTTCCAGATACTTCTTAGTGGACCCAGGTAACCTACACAAGAGGCTATTCGGGAGAGGGTGGGTGGGGATCTTACTGCAGACTTGCAAGCCAAGGTCAGTTTCGAGAGCAAGAGTAGTCGGGCGCTGACCCATGAAAATGCTACATGTTCCCAGGTTCCTGACAGCCTATGGGGCAATGAAATGCAAAACAGAATCCAAAACCCCAGAGCTAAGTCCCGTCTGGATCCTGAAATCTGTTTCTCAGGCAGACCTCTTGAATTCTCCCCTAAAAATTGAGCCAAGTAGAGGCAAGACTGTGGAGCACACGTAACCACTGCTTCCTGTTACATGAAGTCAGGGAAAGATTGTTTCCAAAGCATCTCAGCTTTGCTGCCACTTAGGGGTTTCTGTAGAAGTTTTTTGTTCATAAATCTTTACTCTTTCCTTATTACATGGCTATCAGGACTTTAAACAGCGGCCACAAACAACATACTTTTTAATAGCGTTAGCTTTCCATCTATATAACAAAATACCTGCAGGGGAAGCATTTATTTTGGTTCACGGCTTCAAAGGTTTCAGTCCATAGTCAACTGGCTCATGTCTGGGGCTGAGGTGAGAAATGCATCATGGGAGAGGAAAGCTGTTTCCTCAGGAAAACTTGGAAGCAGAGACAGGACATGGCATTCCTTTTTAGGTTAGTCCCCCACCTATCTGCTTCCTGCAAGTAGACCCACCCCCTAACAGTACATTCACTGACAGCTCATCAGATGGTTAGCACCCCAGGATCCAATCACCCTCCAAAGCCCCAGCTCTGAACACAGAAGTGTTGGGGGATTGTTTTTATACAAGCCATTAAGAGCCACAAAGTCCATACAGATGATGTGAAAAATACAGAAAATGTATGATGTTTAGTTTTAATGAGCAAGAAGTGTGTTATGTTCCAGGTCTTGCTGTCTTTAAGTTATCATAAGAGGAAAGCTAGGGACATAGTACAGTGGTACATCATGTACAAGGCCCCAAGTTTGATTCCTAGCACCAAAAAAACAAAACCACCAAAACCCCATGTGTAATATTTTACTGTTTTGTAGTTACTAGATTAAATTGTGGTCAGGGATTTAGTTCAGCAGCGTAAGTGCCTGCCTTGCAAGCACTTGGTCATGAGTTCAATCCCCAGTACCAAAAAAAAAAAAAGATTTCTAGACTAAATTGTGAAGGGTATGCTGGTACACACTTGTAATCCCAGCACGCAGGGAGGCTGAGGCAGAATTACTGTTAATTCAAGCCAGTGTGGGCCACAAAGTGAATTCAAGGCCAGCATAGAGAAACCCTGCCTCAAAAAACGCATAAAATAGATTAAATTGGCCTGAAGTTGTAGTCCAGTGGTAGAGAGCTTGCCTAGAGTACATGTGGCCCTGAGTTTGATCCTCTGCACTACCAAAAAGAAAAAAGCAATATTTGGGTCCCTCTGGTTTTTAATAAGTAGGGTTAAGATCAGATGTACACAGTGTATATTCTGACACCACCATTGCTTTATTTATAGCAGTGGGGAGGATAGAAGAAACATTTGATACACATTAATGTAGGGAGATGAGCTGCTCTGGGCATATTTGGTTCAAAAAACTGAAAGATCCTCTGCCGTAATGTGCTGCCCTGGCATCTGATGAGGCCTCACTTAGGTCTCAGTCTGAGAGAGTCATTCTACAGCAGAGGTAATTGAAGGAATGTTCCTAGGCAACCCAGGAAAGTACAAACACGTTTTGGGCCACAAAGCGGCACTGTGGAGAGGACTGACACTTGGGAGGGACCACCAGCCCAGTTTGCTGATGAAGGCATCTGGGTGTGCAGCTTCATCCCCATCAGGACTCAGTGGTTCTCTGCGGCCATAACTCCCATCTCTTGAGGACCCCATAGGGAAACCTCTGGAACAAAATGGAAGCCAGGTGGACGTCCCTAGGATAGACTCAGAAATTCCTTAGGTCCAATTGCTATTGTCACAAGTTCCTTTTTGTTTTTCTGTTCCATTCCAAAGAACTCTGACTGGGCAGCCACAGACCATGACAGAATTGGCTCTCACATGGGGCAGTGGGGGACGCTGACAGTTTGCTCTTCCCTGAATGTGTTGGGCTCACTCAGGCTGCCCTGTGGAATTGGGGAGGTTAGAAATTTGAGCAAAAACAAACCAGACAGGGATTATTTTTCTTACGTAACCAGAAGCCCGACTGGCAGCAGGCATTTGGAGCTATGTCTTTAGAGGTCTCCAGTGATGGCTCTGTGGTCATTGGATATATAGCTTTTGTCTTTGTGCACAGAGACATCCCCTTCACCTCTGTGCTGTGGCCACACTGTAGGCAGGAAGTGGGGAGGGATGAAGGGCCATGTTTGTATTTTTTATAACAGCCCTATGTCAATATCATGGAAGAAATGACACTATCTAGTGGTCTTGCTAAGGTGGATGCTAACTACTGGTACTAACTAATCTCCATACTTCTGATAGTGTTGTTTCTTGAGAGTCCTTTTCTCCCTCATCACAGGCCCTGCAAGTCTTGTTTATACCTGCTAGCATTCATGTAGCAGAGAGACTTGTCTGCTGCCTGCCAAGCTTGTGTGGATTCCACTGGATTCTAGTCAGCTGGATTTGCCCACTCAGGGGGCCCCCTTTAGAGGAAGCAAATACCATAGGCTCCCGCTTAGTTTAAGAGGGTTACAGACACCTTTGTGCTGGGGGTGAAGGAGGGGGCGAGCTCCCTGAATGTGTATTCTCTTGAGTAACTGGAAGTTGAATAGCATCATCATTGAGTCTCTGAAAATATGGTTCTTTTCAGAAAAACAATTCATGGATCTAAGGGACCTGGAGTGGAGATATTTTAAGGGGCTTGCAAAATGGAAGCACACAACCATGGTTTCAATCGTGGAGATAAAATACAACAGCGAGAAGAGATTTGTAGAGAGCCCGGATATGCCTGGTCGTCTCTCCCCACCTCTAGTGCATAGGTCTATGTTCATTTATCCTCAGAAGGAAGGAAATTATGATCTTAAATGGAATATTTAGTTTATTGAAAGTCCTTGGATGTGAATTTTTACTACTGAGAGCATTGAAGTGAAGAAGAGGCATGCAATGTAACATCTGAACAGTATTCATGTAAAGCTGCCTAATAAAGTATCAGTGTAGAGTAGAAGACTCAGAGTGATCTGCTAGTGTAATGTTTGGTTTGACTCCTGTAGCCCATGTAGGGCAGGGCTGAAGTAGATATTGATCCTATGAAAATAAAATGATGCACCTGGAGAACTCCCAAGCAAGAATAGCTTTTACATGGCCTGCACAAAGCCCTAGGTCAATCCACAGACCCCTCCTCCCTACAGAAATATAAGCACATAAGGAAGCCCATCACCATAAAAGCAGCCAATAAATTCAACAGAGTCTGAGAACTTCAGTGTTAACTGCTCAAGGCATTAAGAAAGGAAGTAGCATACATGAAACAAGGACTGAAAAAGGAACACATTGAAAATCTCAAGTGAAAACAAAGCCACTACAGTAACAATAATCCTCAATAAAGTATCCCATTATTATTATTTTTGCTACCAGGGATTAAACTCAACTTCGCACTGGCCAGGTAGGCACTTACGCCACTGAGCTAAATCCCTGGACCAAGGCCTCTCACTTTCATCCAGTTATCTGTAATTGGTAGTGTTGCTGGCCCCAGAATTTGAACAGTGCAGGTACTCATAAAAAAGGTAAAAATACTCTTCCTGAGCCTGGTACTTTTTCTGCTGCTAAACTGAAACATGCTGAGCTGAGCATTTTTTGTAACTGTCATTTAAAACTTTGTCTTTACATTTTTTTTTCTTTTCTATTTTTTATCAGTACCAGGGATTGAACTCACGACCACCTGCTTGCAAGGCAGGTGCTTATGCCGCTGAGCTAAATCCCCAGCCCCTAAACTTTTGTCTTTAAATCATGAATACTAAACAAGTTTTGGGAGCTTGCATTAACCACCATGCATTAACATTAACTAAAAGTAAGACTTTCAAATCAAAGTAATCTTACTAGACAATCAACCAAAATGAAATGTGAATATCAATATCTATACCAAATAAACCTTGCGGTTGGATCTAGAATTTGTATTTTTTTTTTATGAGTAGTGGATTACAGTAAATGAAGATTGTATTCACCATGGGAGCTGCTACATGCATGCACACAATGTCTTACTTTATGTCCCATAACTGGCATATGCAAGTGTCAATCGAGACTGCCAAGGAGCTTTAAATCATGTAAAATTAGGTAATGAGTTAACATATATTTGAGCTTGTCAGGATATTGGAACAGAATCATATGCGACAACTTGGTGGGTTTTGCAAATCCAAAGAGTAATATAAACTGCATTTAATTGTGGAAAAATGGGACATTAGAGAAAAAAATTGTAGAATTCTTGCAGGATATGTTAGGACCGTTGGTGGCTGCAGGCTGCAGTAGTCAGAGAAACAGTACCTCAGTTCTCTGGCATGGAGGGTTTAGCACCTCCCTCCCACAGACTATGATTATTCCCCCTGTCAGAAGTGCTCTAACATTGTCATTCTAAATTGTGACAGAATTTGTGGCGTGGCTAAAAAGATAGAAACATGGAATAAAAGTGGCCTTTATTTTTAGAATGTGGAAAGAGAACCCCTCCTCCCGACCACTGAGGTCTGGCTTTTCTCTGCCAGGCACGTATTGTGGGGGGCATACATATAACTTAGGTTTGGGGTGGTGCCTAAGGGGCATTATCAATGCACAGGTAGCCCATTGGAATTCATTGCACACCACAGGTAAATTGCCTAGGGGCAGGGAAGGTGACCTCAAGATAGAGTCCCTTGGTTCTGCCTCCCAGCCTCCCACCACTGTAGTGTCTCAGGGTAAAATTCTTTTCCTGTCATTTTATTGTTAGAAAAAAGTGTGAAGTTTTTTTTTTCTTTTACTGTTTCCTGCTGAAAGGGGGTACTGTACTGGGGTTTAGGTGGGTCGATGGGATGATGGTTGATGCCCATGTAGAAGCTGGTGCCAGGTGTTTTAACTAGGACAACTTTACCACTGGTGAATGCCCGCACATTAGACTGGGAAAACAAAGAGACAAGGTGTTATGAGGAGATGGGCCACTATCATATTTAAAGGACCCAGGTGAAACAGAAGGAAAGGTGCCTTTGATTTAGATATATCATTTTATCAGGACCCTGGTGAGGTAGAATCATTATACCATGGTGAGCTAAAATTCTGAAAAATATATGTGGGGTTAGGAGGTGATTATTCCCCCATCTGAAAGGGTAAAAGTTAAGAGGGTAAGACATGTCTCTGGTATGCATGATGTGGGCAGTCTTTAGGAAAGACTATTGAGACTCCTGCTGTAAAAAAGATAATTAATAGAATGTAAGAAATTAGGAACCAAATTGGACAACAAAACATGACTTAGCCTGAGAGTTGTGGCTGTGAGGCCTTGGTGAGGTGGAGATGAGTGAGCAAAAAAGATGGTTAGGTTTAGGGCTGGGAGGGCATTGCTTAGCCTGCATGATGTGAAACCAGGATGGCAGTCTAGCAACTTTGACCGCTGTTTGTCAAGAAGACCAGGTATGGAGCTGGGGATTTAGTTCAGCGGCATAAGCACCTGCCTTGCAAGCAGGCAGTCCTGAGTTCAATCCCCGATAAAAAAAAAGAAGAAGAAGACCAGGTATGAGCCACTCCACCTTGGTTGTAGTCCTTGCGATGATTTCATGTAATAGGACTTTAGTAAGTATATCAGCAATTTCCCTGGTTGTGGGAAAGGCTTTTATTTATCCTGAAAAAGTACAAACAAAGGTAAGAAGATATTTGAGAGTTTTGTGGCAAGGCATATGTGTAAAATTTATGTCAGTCTTGACCAGGGTTGTGTCTGAGAAACTGATGAATAGGAAAGGAAGGGGATGCTGTGTGTCCCTGAGGAGAGGTTTTACAAGACATAACAGGTGTAAGCTATTGAGACCTCAGAGTGTCTGGGCCAGGTGCATAAACACTAAGGAATAAAAAGGCATTTTTAAGATCTAGGACTATAGGGGCTGGGGATTTAGCTCAACGGCATAAGCGCCTGCCTTGCAAGCACGCAGTTGTGAGTTTGATCCCTGGTACCGATAAAAAGGAAAAAGACAAAAAAAAAAAAAAAAAAAAGATCTAGGACTGTAAAGTGAGTGGTGGAGGGAGGTATAAGGGTTTGGCCCCACTGAGTGGATTGGGGTAACAGCATGATTGAGTATCCTAAGGTTTTGTACTAGAGAGTAAGAACCATCAGGCTTGAGTACCAGGAGAATGGGAGTATTATCAGGTAAATGGGTAGGTTTAAGAAAACTGTTGTCTAAAAGGCTCTTAATTAAAATAGGCATAGCATGGGCAGTACAGGTGGGATTGGAGGTATCTCAAACTATGGGATCATCCAGAGAAGAAGCAAGTCAGGAACCTGCATGAAATAGGCCCTCTCTATAAAGGCTGCATAGGTTGGCCGTCAGTACCCCCTATAAATACCGAGGACTTAATATAATGGCCTGAAAACTCAGGAAGAACCCTATACATGGCCTCTATGTCCACAAGTATAGATAGTGTCTTACCTGAGACCTCTAGTGGGACTTGGGGCTCTGAGAAGAACATCTTAATGGAGGGCGGCTATGGGCTCCAAGCCCCATCAGTCTTCAGCAAGTCTAAGTAGATGTGTCAGCAATGAATCTGGCAGTGATGGCATTTCCTATGAGGGCAAGGAATTGGAGGATGGCCTACCTGCTCTCTTGCAGCTAGGACAGTCTAGTGGCCCTGGGGCAAGGCCCTAAAGGAACACCAGGATTGGGGTATTTTCTTCCCAATTTCTGCTGCATTCGAAGCATGGTCCAGGAGGGGCTCAGGCAGCTCCACCTTGTGTCAGTTTACCTGTCTCAGACCTCCAGGTGTCACTGCTAGAAGATCAGATTGTTATTTTTTATCGCTGTTGTTGAAAACACGAAAAGCCATAATAAGAAGGTCTCCCTGTAGGGTTTAAGGGCCAAGTTTAGCCTTTTGTCTTGGGATCTGGCCCACAGTGGGAGGTATCTGTAGAATAAATTGAGTATGCAGGAGTCAAATAATACAATCAACAGGGTATTTTATGATCATAACTTTAGTAATGGCTTCCCATAAGGAGCATTAGGTCCAGGGAATTTTAGGAACTGACATGTCATTTATTTGTCATATATAAGTATCTCTTTACGCTGTTAGAATGTCTAATGCCATGTGATTTTTGGAGGATGGCCTGTTTTATTAATCTTACCTTTTTATTTAGGAGAGAGATCAGCTATGGTGTCATTTAATGCCAGTTGAGTATAGTTGATTATGGCTTGGCAGAGGGCAGGCTGGGAAAGGCTCAAACCTGGCCTCTGCCCTAGTGCTGGTCTTGTTGTTCTGCATGTATCACATAACCTTTTTTCTGGAAAAGATCTGGTGGATCCCAGCAAAAGGAATCCAAAAGGAATTTATAATTATCTCTTAATTTCAGTCATTGAACATCCAGAAGATTGAAAATAGTACAGTATAGGCAGTAAGCTTAACACAGAACATTAAATGGCTATTTACTATGGGTGTTTTAACATTTGAGCACTGAAGAAATTTGTGAAGCATCTCTAAGCATATGTCTGGATCTGAATGAAAACATTTGTAATTATACATTACATAGATTTTTGTTTAAAAATGATTTGACTGGTGAACTCATGTTCGTCTGATTTGTATCTTGGCTGGAACACAAGAAAAAGGCAGCAGAAAGAATCTCAATTTTATATTTGAAGGCCTGAATATACCATCAGATCAGCAACACTGAACTGTCTTAGTCATACGAAGTTTCGTTGAGGTGTCTCCCATACGGCTATGGAGATTATTGGAGGCTTCAATTAATGAACAAGAGCTGGTAAAATTACCAGGTGGCCACTTTTCCCGTTTATCCATTGAAGTCTTGTCCAATGTCTCCTCACCCCAAGAGATTTTATTTAACCAGTTTTAGCACCATTTTGACCATCTGGCAAAAGTGTGTGTGGGGGGGATTGTTGCGCTCAAATAAAAGGAACAGCTGTTTACAGAGCAGGCAAATGGACAAACATGAACAGATGATCTGTACATTATAAACAGACTGAACAAGCAACAGATATATTTTATAAAATCAGAGTACACTCAGGGGCTGGGGATTTAGCTCAGTGGCATAAGCGCCTGACTTGTAAAGCAGGCAGTAATGAGTTCGATCCCCAGTACTGATAAAAAGGAAAAAGACAAAAAAAAAAAAATCAGTGCACTCAAATATATTTGGTCAATGTGAATCATAATAAATAAGACTGGTGTGAACCTTTTTGTAGATTAATTGAGATCTCTTGAAATAAGAATACCAGAAAAGGAACATGGTTAGCTCAGAGAGTTAAGAAGGAATGACCAGGGGGTGGGGATTTGGTTCAGTGGCATAAGCGCCTGCCTTCAAGCAGGCAGTTGTGAGTTCGATCCCTGGTACCGATAAAAATGAAAAAAAAAAAAGAAGGAATGACCAGGCGTCCTGCCTCGCCGGGCAGCCATTTGTCCCTTTTACTCCTGGCCCCTTTTCCTCCCACCGTATCCCATTGTGTCCTCCTCCAAGCCACCACCCAGAGCAGGGCTTGGGGTTTGGCCTGAGCCAAGCCGAGCTCAGGACAGGGGCTGGGGCTGGGGCTGGGGGCTGGGGGCTGGGACTGTTCGGGAGGTGCTCGGAGCCCACAGGAGATCACAGAGCCGGCATGTGCGGCGTTAGAGCCCAGAGCAGCCCGCGCAGCCCCTCGGTGCCCACTGCGCCTGCCCTGCCAGCTGGCAGCCCAACGCTGTCCGCTCGCACCTCCTGCGCATCCCAGCCACTCATGCTCAGGAAGAGGCAGGCTGGCATACAGCAGGGGAGGGATTGAGAAATGGGTGAAGCGGGGAGGAAAGGACGGTGCTGAGAGAGCTGCGGGATTTGATGTGTGAGATATAGGGGAGAAGCTGTAAAGAAAGAAGCCACCTCCTGAGTGTGGGGAGGAGGAGGAGGGATCCTGGAGGAGCAGAGGGAGAGAGGGACCCATTCCTAAAAGGCCTAAAGATGGAGAGTTTT